CTAAAAACTTTTATTAATATTAAATATTAAGAATCAGTGATGATAATTATTTAGGCCTGCCATTCTCTGGAAAATTATGGGTTAAGGTGTTCACAGATGCCAGCAAAGGGTCAGCAGCATCCTAATGAATGACCCCAGGATATACAGACATGCAATGAATCCTGAGGTTTGTTAGAAATGACCAATTCATCTCTTACTTCTCCACCCTAGTGATTCTAATAACAAATTCCATATGAAGGATAAGAGGAGCATCACCAAGTAGTCGTACAGCAGCTGAAGACCCTATTTACCTCTTTCTCAATCCTAGCCAACCCTGGCACAGCCCAGCCTTCCACATGAAAACCAAGGTCCCTGATATTATTGTAGAGGTTATAATCAGCAAGGCTAGTTTAGCTACCAAAGATCCTTCTGACCATGCACCTACTTGTTCTTGGGAGACAATTCTCCATAGGTTTCTCATGTTTCTGTATGTCTCGCAAGCAGAGGCTTTAACTGCCTTTGCATCAAACTATCTCTTCAAGAATGGGTTGTATTGGGAGCAAAGAGAAGTTTTGCTTGCTGCTCATTATAAAAGATTCAGATTCTCTTAGCGCAGTGTTCCTCTTTATAATCCAATCTGCTCACTGCATGAGCAAGTACCACCTGCTACTCTTCCTATTGCCCTGTGGGAATTAGGGTTCTGGTTCATTGCAAGAAAATGTTGAATCTCTAGCTACTACTATTAACATAATTAAATCCTTTGACCGTGACCCAAGGGTCTTACATTTTCTGACAGCATCCATGAAATTGTCAGTCTAACTTGCTGGTTTGTGACTAGGAGAAAAAATCTCACTCCCTTTATAGTTCTTAGTATTTGCCAAGTATTATTAGCAATAAAGACTGACTGCAGGTCCTTAAAGCAAAAATTTTATGTAACAGACTTCACTAACAGCTTCACAGAGACCACTAGCACTAAGCCAGACCTCAAAGCAGCTATAATAACCACTTATTTAGTGCATAGACACCCTTAGCTTCTCACTAAAATTTCTGTTAGATTCCTTCTAGCATCTCTGTGTGCCAATGTCTCAGCTTTGGAAGGTTTTGCTGTTAATTTCTCTACCTGTGACTTTCTTCAGAGAAGACCTTGGGCACTGGAGCTTCCTCACCTACACAGAGTACAGGAAGGGGCTGGGAGTTTTTATTTCTTCCAATGACTGACTAAAGTAGAAATAGAAGAGCTCTGTTCTTTTTCTTCAAGTCAGGACAAACTTGGTATAATGTATGCTCCAGAACATCCTGTGAGATCAGGCTAATGCTGGGACTTCCTTTGAAGTGATGTCCTTCCCTGGCCTCTTTCCCTTCCCTTTCCTGCTTCTTCTGCTCCTTCATTGGTTTCTCTTTGGAACGCGTCCTTAATTGGCAAATGCTTGGCCTGTGTCTGTTTCTAGGAGAACCTAATCTAAGAAAGCCAGTGATTCTCAACCCTGGCTGTTTATTAGAATCTCTGAAAAAGAGTTTTAAAAAATTATGATAGTGCCCTACCTTTGACAAATTAAATTAGAATATCAAGCAGTGAGATACATATGTTTAAAAGCTCCCCCAATGATTCTAACGTTCAGTATAGATTTAGGCTATTTGGGGGCCACCTTCTTCAGGTAACTGAATTTCACCACTTGCTATGTTCCCAGCATTCCAATAGGTACAGCAGAAATCCTCTCTAGGAAATTGCTTGGCCCAGAAAATCCTCCAGTCTGAAAATTTAGCAGCAACATGACCTAGCTCAGGCAGCAGCAGTATGCTTTTTCTTGGGAGTCGTGGCAGAGATCTTGGCCATGTGGGGCAGTCCTGTAGATGAGAAAGGCCTACAAGTCTTCCCTAGGGAAAGTTGACTACAGCTGGCAAGTACAGGCAGGGTACTAGTTCTCTTCACTACTCTGAACAGATCAGGGAGGCTGCCCATGTATGCCTCCAAAACTGTTTACAGGAATATTTGGTGGCACTACATCCATAATAATTGTATTCTCAAAAGCACACTCCTAATCCCTACTTCCAGTTAGTCTGAGAGTTTTGTGATTATTACATTTTATATGTCAACTTGGCTAAGCTATGATGCCAAGTTGTTTGGCCAAACACTAGTCTAAATATTTCTATAAAGATACTTTGTAGATGAGACTAACATTAACACTGAATCTCCTATTTAATATAGTATTGGAAGTCTCAGAGCAATCAGGCAAGAAAAAGAAATAAAAGATACTCAAATAGGAAAAGAAAAGTCAAACTATCTCTCTTTGAGGATGATACGATTTGACACCTAGAAAACCCTAAAGATGCCACCAAAAGGTTCCTAGAATCAATAAACAACTTCATTAAAGTTTCAGGATACAAAATCAATGTATATAAATCAGTAGCATTTCTAGACACCAATAGCATTCAAGCCAAGAGCCAAATCAAGAATGTAATCACATTTACAATAGCCACACAAAAAATAAAATACCTAGGAATACATGTAACCAAGGAAGTGAAAGAGCTCTATAAGGATTACTATAAAATACTGCTGAAAGAAATCACAGATGACAAAAACAAATGGAAAAACATTCTGTGTTCATGGCTTGGAAGAATTAATATTATTAAAATGAACATACTGCCCAAAGTAATCTATAGACTTAATGCCATTCCTATAAAATTATCAATGTCATTTTTCACACAATTCAAAAAAACTATTCTAAAATCCTTATGGAACCCAAACAGAGCCAAAATAACCAAAGCAATCCTATGCAAAAAGAACAAAAGCAAAGGCATTATATTACCTGACCTCAAACTATATTAACCAAAACAGTATGATATTGGTACAAAAATAGACACAAAGACCAATAGAAGAAAATAGAGAATCCAGAAATAAAGCAGAACACCTACAAACATCTGATCTTTGACAAGATCAATACAAATAAGCAAGGGGAAAGAGATTCTCAATTCACTAAATGGTCCTGGGATAGCTGGCTAACAATATGCCAAAGAATTAAACTGCACCCCCATCTTTCACCATGTATAATATTAACTCTAGGACTGAAGAGTTTGAAGATCATGGTGGACAGGAAGCAGACTAGATTGCAGCTCTTAGACAGAGCAGCATGTGGACTTTTGCTTTGAAACTACTACAAGAATAAATCATGAAAGCTGAGAGAACTCACAGACCTCTGAAGGAAGCAGATTACTCCTGCAGGACCCGGGAAACACCCCAAATACTACGAGTACTGAAATGGTGGAAGTGGGAAAGGGGAATTGTCCACCCCCAAACACATACCTGCACTGGGGAAACTAAAGGTCTGGATCATGGGAGAAGCTTCTGACCTTACCTAGAGCTGAGTCAATTTTGAGAGCCTAGTGAAATACAGAGGCAGAGAAGGCAGTGGGCAAAGATTTGTGGGCTCTCTAGGTCCCCTAAGAAGTCATTTCTGCCTTGCCTCACAGGGGTTCTCAGGAAGGACTGCCAGAGATACTTGGAGAAAAACCACAGGGAGAAGGAAACCTTCAGCTGAAACTTTTTTTTTTTTTTTTTTTTTTTTTTGAGATGGAGTCTTGTACTGTTGCCCAGACTGGAGTGCAATGGCCAGATCTTGGCTCACTACAACCTCCATCTCCCAGGTTCAAGTGATTCTACCGCCTCAGCCTCCCGAGTAGCTGAGGTTACAGGTGTCTACCACCACGCCCAACTAATTTTTTGTATTTTTAGTAGAGACAGGGTTTCACTATGTTGGCCTGGCTGGTCTCGAACTCCTGACCTCGTGATCTGCCCACCTCAGCCTCCCAAAGTGCTGGGATTACAGTCTGGGATTACAGGTTGCAGTGAGCTGAGATTGCGTCACTGCACTCCAGCTTAAGTGACAGAGCAAGACTCCATCTCAAAAAATAAAGCAATAGCATTTTAAGAAGACAAAGAGGGACATTATATGATAAAAAGCATTGTCCAAGAGGAAAATATCACAATCCTAAACATATATGCATGTACACTGGAGCTCCCAAATTTATAAAACAATTACTAATATACCTAAGAAATAAGACAGCAACACAGTAACAGTGCAGGACTTCAATACTCCACTGACAGCACTAGACAGGTCATCAAGACAGAAAGTTAACAAAGAAGCAATGGATTTAAACGATACCCTAGAACAAATGAACTTAACAGATATTTACAGAACATTCTACCCAACAGCCGCAGAATATACATTCCATTCATCAGCACATGAAACTTTTCTCCAAGACAGACCATATGATAGGCCACAAAACAAGCCTTAATAAACTTAAGAAAATTGAAATTATATCAAGCACTCTCTCAGACCACAGTGGAATAAAATTGGAAATCAACTCCAAAATGAACCTTTAAAACCATGCAAATACACGGAAATTAAATAACTTGCTCCTGAAAGATCACTGGGTCGAAATGAAATTAAGATGGAAATTTAAAAATTCTCTTAACTGAATGATAACAGTGACACAACCTATCAAAACCTCGGGCATACATCAAAGAAAAATGTTCATAGCTCTAAATACCTACATCAAAAAGTCTGAAAGGGCACAAACAACCTAAGGTCACACCTCAAGGAGCTACAGAAACAAGAAAAAACCAGACCCAAACCCAGCAGAAGAAAGGAAATAACCAAGATCCGAGCAGAGATAAATGAAATCGAAACAAACAAAGCAATACAAAAGACAAATGAAAAAAAAATCCTTGTTCTTTTAAAAGATAAAATTGATAGACCATTAGCAAGGTTAACGAAAAAGAGGGAAAATCCAAATCAGCTCAATTAGAAATGAAACGGGAGATATCACAACTGACGCCAAAGAAATACAAAAGATCATTCAAGGCTACTATGAACACCTTTATGCACATAAACTAGAAAACCTAGGGAAGATGGATAAATTCCTGGAAATATACCAACTTCCTAGCCTAAATCAGGAAGAATTAGATACACTGAACAGACCAATAACAAGCAGTGAGGTTGAAATGATAATTCAAAAATTACCACCCAGAGGATCATGGAGTCCTTGCGAGGTGGGTGTCAGCGAGAGGTCAGTGTTGAGTTCAGGGGCACACCAGGGCCGAGGCCGGAGCTGACCAGCCACTCGCTGCCTCTGCTCTCAGTAGCCGGGGCAGGCCTGGGCCGGGGTTACCGGGAGAAGAGACGCAGCACGGTGGGTGGCACGCTCGGCCAGCCCCCGCCCGCACTCAACAGGCGCGATGCTCTTCTCGCTCCGGAAGCTGGTGCAGTGGCTGGCCTTTGCTACCTTTGAGATCTTCGTGCACCTGCTGGCACTGCGTGTGGATGGCCTGGTCCCAGGCCTCTCCTGATGGAAGGCGTTCGTGCCTTTCTTCGTCACTGACGGGCTCAGCACCTACTTCACCACCATCGTGTCCCTGCGCCTCTTCTAGGACAGAGAAGCGGCTGGCGGTGCTCCGCCTTTTCTGGGTCCTCACGGTCTTGAGTCTCAAGCTCGTTTTCGAGACATTGTTACTCCAGAAGCTGGCGGAGTAAACGTGGGAGCTATAGTTCAGTTTCACCACGTCCCGAGTCTTCATTCGCCTGCAGCTGGTCGTGACCCGGGCCTGTCGGGTCAACAGTCCTCTCCGAGGTGCCAGAGAGGGAGCGCTGGGCAGCTAGAATGCTGACCTCAAGCAGAGGCCCCACTTGCACCGCACGGGAGGAGAGGTTCTCTGGTCTGAAGGCGGCGCCTGCTTGCGCCGAGCTGAGTGCCTGGTTTCTCCATTCCAATTCTGCCTGAAATGGTTTCATCAGCAGGGCCTAAAAGAGCAGCCTTCATCCTTAAAATCTATTTCCTTTTATTTCATGCCTTGAGTAGGTAATGTTGAATTGAGGTGTTGAGGAGGGCCCCATGCCAGACAGTCCTGAACTCCTCTGACACTTGGAAACTGAAATGAAATGGAAACCGAAAGTCAAATGACCAGGTGAACTCTGAACATTTTTAGTGGATCTGGGAGAATACTGCTGCACAAAGGCTGCAAAGCCGTACTTAGGGATGTCCTCCAACCAGCAGCACTGACGTAAGAGCTCCCTGCACCGTCCATCCAGACCGGACTTCGGTAGATGTCTTTGTTAGATCTGTCAAATGTAAACAAGCTTGTATCTTCCCCTGTGCCATGAGAGAGACTGGCCCTTTATTCCAGTCTAGGCAGAGACAGAAGAATGTTGAATATGAGCACGATTAGGGTCCTGTCTGGTTATCTGTTACCCAAGAAAAGAACTCTGCCTTTCAGGCACTGTTTGGCTTTCTAGCCCAGCAAAGACTGCAATTTCATGGACTTTTTCACCACCTTGTGGCTGGCACTTTCAGCACACCCGAGACAGATTTAAGCCTCCTTAAAAGACCGAAGAGAGGAACAGGTGTCAGATACTCATAGGCTTTGAGACCTGCAAATGGGAAGCTTGTGAGTAGTCCAGCTTTATTGGCCTATGAACTTTGGTTTGATGCCAGTCAGATGCCAAAGAGAACCTTTGCTCAGATGCAAATAGAGAGAATATTTTCCTGAAAAAAAAAAAAAAGTCCAGGACCAGATGGATTCACAGCTGAATTCTATCAGACATTCAAAGAATAATTTGTACTAATCTTATAGAAACGATTACACACAAGATAATGAAAGAGGGAATCCTCCATAAATGATTCCTTGAAGCCAGTATCACCCTAATACCAAAACCAGGAAAGGACATAACCAAAAAAGAAAACTACAGACAATTATCCCTGATGAACATATATACAAAAATCCTTAACAAAATACTAGCTAACTGAATCCAACAGCATATATTAAAAAAAAATCCACTATGATCAAGTGGGTTTCATACCAGGAATGCAAAGATGGTTTAACATACAGAAGTCAACAAATATGATACACCACATAAACAGAATTAAAAATAAAAATCACATGATCATCTCAATAGATGCAGAAAAAGCATTTGACAAATTACAGCATCTCTTTATGATTAAAACTCTCAGCAAAATCAGCATGCAAGAGACATAACTTCATGTAATAAAAGTCATTTATGACAGACCCACAGCCAACATAATATTGAATAGGGAAAAGTTTAAAGCATTCCCTCTTAGAACTGGAACAAGACGAAGATGTCCACTCTAATCACTTCTATACACCATAGTACTGGAAGGCCTAGCCAGAGCAATCAGACAAGAGAAAGAAATAAAGAGCATCTACATCAGTAAAGAGAAAGTCAAACTGTCGCTGTTTGCTGATGATATGATTGTATACCCAGAAAACCCTAAAAACTCCTCTAAAAAGCTCCTAGAACTGATGAATGAATTCAGCAAAGTTTTGGGATACAAAATTAATGTACACAAATCAGTAGCTCTTCTATACACCAACAGTGACCATGATGAATATCAAATCAAGAACTCAACACCTTTTACAATAACTGTGAAAATAAATAAATGAAATACCTAGGAATTTACCCAACCAAGGAGGTTAAAGACCTCTGCAAGGAAAACTACAGAACACTGCTGAAAGAAATCATAGATGACAGAAGCAAACAGAAACACATCCCATGCTCATGGATGGATAGAATCAATATTGTGAAAATGACCAGACTGCCAAAAGCAATTTATAAATTTAGTGCAATCCCCATCAAAATATTATCATCATCCTTCATAGAACTAGAAAAAAAAATCCTAAAATTCATATAGAACCACAAAAAAAGCCCTCATAGCCAAAGCAAGACTAAGCAAAAAGAACAAATCTGGAGGCATAGAGGCATCACATTACCTGATTTCAAACTATACTATAAGGCCACAGTCACCAAAACAGTATGGTACTGGTATAAAAATCAGCACATAGACCAATGGAACAGAATAGAGAGCCCAGAAGTAAACCCAAATACTTATAGCTAATTGATCTTTGACAAAACAAATACATGAAGTGGGGAAAGGACACCCTATTCAACAAAAATGGTGCTGAGATCATTGGCAAGCCACATGTAGGAGAATAAAATTGGTTCCTCATCACTTGCCTTATATGAAAATCAACTGAAGAAAGACCAACGGCTTAAATCTAAGACCTGAAACTACAAAAATTCTGGAAGATAACATTGGAAAAACCCTTCTAGACAATGGTTTAGGCAAGGACTTCATGATCAAGAATCCAAAAGCAAAGGTAATAAAAACAAAGATAAATAGTTAAGACTTAATTAAACTAAAGAGCTTCTGCACAGCAAAAGGAACAATTATCAGAGTAAACAGACAACCCACGGAGTGGGGAAAAAATCTTCACAATCTTTACATCTGACAAAGGACTGGTATCCAGAATCTATAATTAACTCAAACAAATTAGCAAGAAAAAAACAATCCCATCAAAAAGTAGGCTAAGGACATGAATAGACAATTCTCAAAAGAAGATATACGAATGGCCAAGAAACATATGAAAAAATGTTCAACATCACTAATGATCAGGGAAACGCAAATCAAAACCATAAGGTGATATCACCTTACTCCTGCAAGATTGGCCATAATAAAATTAAAATAAAAATAAATCGGTGTTGGTGGCATGGATATGGTGAACTACCAGCATTCTACACTGCTGGTGGGAATGTAAACTAGTACAACCACTATGGAAAACAGTGCAGAGATTCCTTAAAGAATTAAAAGTAGAACTACCATTTGATCCAGCAATCCCACTACTGGCTCTCTACCCAGAGGAAAAGAAGTCATTATATGAAAATGATACTTGCACATACATGTTTATAACAGCACAATTCACAATTGCAAAAATGTGGATTCAACCCAATGCCAATCAATCAACGAGTGGATAAAGAAACTGTGGTGTGTATATATATATATATATATATATATATATACATATATATATATATATATATATGTGTGTGTGTGTGTATATATACATATATACACTTATATATACATATATACATATATACATGTATATACATGTATACACGTATATATACATATATATGTATACGCATATATGTGTATATATACATACGTATGTATATATGTGTATATGTGTGCATATGTGTATATATGTATGTTATATATGTACATATATGTATATATGTATACACATGTATATGTGTATCTACATGTGTGTATATGTATATATGCATATGTGTATATGTGTATATATGTATATATGTGTGTATATGTATACACATATGTATATGTATGTATGTATGTGTATATATACACCACAGTTTATCCACTTGTATATATATGTATATGTGTGTGTGTATATATATGTATATACATATATACAAATGTGTGTGTATATATATATATGTATATATATACATATATATATATGATGGAATACAACTCAGCCATAAAAAAGAATGAATTAATGGCATTTGCAGTGACTTGGATGAGGTTAGAGACTATTATTCTAAGCAAAGTAACTCAGGAATGGAAACAAACATTCTATGTTCTTACTCATATGTGTGAGCTAAGCTATGAGGATGCAAAGGGATAAGAATGACACAAGGGACTTTGGGGACTCAGGCGAAAAGGGTGGGAAGGGGGTGAGGGATAAAAGACTACAAATAGAGTACAGTGTATACTACTTGGGTGATGGGGGACCAAAATCTCACAAATCACCACCAAAGAGCTTACTCATGTAAACAAACACCAACTGTTCCCCAATAACCTATGGAAATAAAATACTTTTAAATGAAAATAAAAACAAATAAAATATGATGCTGTTTTTAAAAAATTAACTCAAGATGAATTAAATATTTAAATATAAGACCTCAAACTATAGAATCCTAGAAGAAAATGTAAGAAACATCATTCTAAACATCATCTTTAAGAAAGAATTTATGACTATGCCCTCAAAAGCAGTTACAAAAACAAAAATTGACAAGTGGGACCAAATTAAACTAAAGAGCTTCTGCACAGCAAAATCAACTATCAACCTACAAAATAGGAGAAAATATTTGCAGACTATGCATCTGACAAAGGTCTAATGTCCAGAAACTATAAGGAACTTAATTCAAGAAGCAAAATCAAATAACCTCATTGAAAAAACAGGTAAAAGACATGAACAGGTACTTCTCAAAAGAAGGCATACAAGTAGACAACAAACATATGAAAAAATGCTCTATACCACATCACCAATCAGAGAAATGCAAATCAAAACCACAGTGGGATACCATCTCACACCAGTCAGAATTGCTACTATTAAAAAGAAAAAACAACAGATGCTGGCAAGGCTACAAAGAAAAGAGAATGTTTATACATTGTTGGTAAGGATGTAAATTAGTTCAGCCACTGTGGAAAGCAGTTTGGAGATTTCTTTAAAACAGAACTGCCATTCAACCCAGCAAACCCATTACTGGGTATATTTAGAAAGGAATATAAATCATTCTACCAAAAAAATACTATGCACACATATGTTCATCACCACAGTATTCACAATAGCAAAGACATGAAATCAACCTAGATGCCCATCAATGGTGGGTTAGATAAAGAAAATGTGGTAAATGTACACCAAGGCATATTATACATCCATTAAAAAAAAGAATGAAATCATGTCCTTTACAGCTACTTGGATGCAGCTTGAGGCTCTTATCTTAGTGAATTAACTCAGGAACAGAAAACCAAATACTATATATTCCAACTTATAAATGGAAGCTTAATGTTGGGTACTCAGGGACATAAAGGTGGGGACAATAGACACTGGAGACTATAAGAAGGGTGGGGGGTAAGGATTGAAAAACTATCTGTTGGGTACTATGCTCATCACCTGGGTGATGAGATCATTCATATTCAAACCTCAGTATTATGCAATGTAACAAACCTGCACAGGCACCCCCTGAATCTAAAATAAAAGTTGGGGTGGGGAGAAAAGTATCTTATAAAAAATTTATGATCTCTTGGCTTTAAGTAGAGGAGATT